GAGTTAGAAACAGATCGGAACAGAGGCGTTGAGAGTTCTGTGCTTGTATTGAGTTGACTTTGTATATTTGGCCTGTTCCTCCAAAACTTTGTGCTGTTTGATTTGATGAAGACCACCTGAGAGTTTGAGAATCCTTTTTCTTTACAACTGGTGGTAAACCGTGAAAGCATTGGTAAATGGTAAATGGTAAATGAACTGTACTTGTATAACACCTTTCTATCTTATCAAGATACATCTCTTTACAACACAATCTGTGCCTCGTTTACCCATTCATACAGCACTCCACTAGATCTGTACAAAGACACTGATGGGACGCACATCAGAGGCAATGAGGGGTTCAGTGTCTTGCCCAGGGACACTTCAGCTTGTGACTGCTGGTGGAATTGAACCCCCAACTCTCCCATTGGAGGACAACTGCTCTAACCACTCAGCCACAGCCGCCCCGTGCTGTAAATAGGACGAACAGACGGAAGGAAGGAAGCAAGGAAGGAAGCAAGGAAGGAAGGAAGGAAGCAAGGAAGGAAGGAAGCAAGGAAGGAAGCAAGGAAGGAAGGAAGGAAACAAGGAAGGAAGGAAGGAAGCAAGGAAGGAAACAAGGAAGGAAGGAAACAAGGAAGGAAGCAAGGGAAGAAGGGAGGAAGGAAGGAAGGAAGGAAGGAAGGAAGCAAGGAAGGAAGGAAGGAAGGAAGGGCTGTGACAGTCTTATTTCTTCTTTTAATTTATCTCTTCTAATTCTATCTTTCTGTCGTCTGGACCAGTTTAAACTGGTTTAAACCAGCTTAAACTGGTCCAGATGACATGATTTAACCTTTTTGTTGTTATCTACCTGGATGACTGAGCTTACAACACTTTCTCTCTTTCTGTATTTCAGGTTCTCATTGCTCTTGTTATCAAATGATTATCACCCCCCCCCCCCCTTATTTATTTATTGTTCCAAATATTTTGTTTTGTAATGCAAAAATGCAAGTATCACCAGTATTCACCAGTTCATGCTTGTCCCTCAGCTTGTGACTGATGACCAACGACTGATGGGTTCTTTGTCTGGACTGATCCAACAAACAGCTCAACACAGGCCAAGACTCCAGTTTGAATCCTTACTCAGCACTTTGTTTCTCTAAGTAGAATTTGGACTGATGCAGGAAAAAACATGTATTATTAGAGAACATGTTTTTTATATTTCAAAGGCCAGACTGGTTTATATTTCAAAGGCCAGACTGGTTTATATTTCAAAGGCCAGACTGGTTTATATTTCAAGGGACAAACCCCGCGCAGGCGTTCTTTAGCAGCAGCACTGATGTTGCAATCTGAGATCAGTTTAGTTTAGTTTTTTTGCCAAGATTCGGCCTCAACAGGAGCCGATACCATGAATTTAGCTTAGTAAGCACCACGCTGTGCCAAGTGAGCCGCACAGGACGACAGCTGAGCTGCTCGTGTGTGTGTGTGTGCACGCACACCCAGAGTGAAACAGAGAGAGGAAACTAGAATCAGCTAAAGAAGCGTCTGTGAGGTGGAGCCCTCTCCTGTGTAGCCGCCGTTAATTTGACCAATTTGCTTCAGTCGGCCGGGGTTGGAGATGGTGTGATTAAATCTACCCAGGTCACCAACAGGGGTGAAAGCAATTACTTTACCAAAAGATAGAGTGACTGAAGAGGAGGAGAGGGGGACATCCTGCTCTTCATCCCTCTGTCCTGCCAGGTGAACATGGCAGACGTGCTCCAGTCTCCTTCCTGTTTCTTCTTTCTGTTTTTTAATCGCTGTAAATGATCAGGGGCCTCCGTCACTGAGAGACGCTTTATCAAGGTCAGGAGCTTACAGCACACACACACACACACACACACACACACACACACGTGTGCAATCTTGAAGTGATGCCCTGGATTCTCTTTTGTCCTCCGTCACACTCGTTTTGTAACCTGCCATTACCTTTTTATCCCTCCTTCCTCCACGCGCTGCACTTTATAGACTGAATGCTTCATTCTCACCAACGTGATCCATTCTTCTTCCGTACGTTTTTCAGCATCCTTCTCGTCCCGTAGTTTTCAGCTATTTCAACAAATCATAAATCAAAGCGTTCAGCTCTTTCAGGACAATCCTGCTATGACTTTTGGTATTGTTGCAGCTTTAGCTTTTTGAAATATTTAGCCTTTTCTCACATTTTTGTCTCATAGAAAATTAATTGAGCTCATTTTCCATCCTTCAAATCTTTAGATCTGTTTACAACCTTTTACTGCTTCAGCTTCTTTCAGCTTCCTTCTGCAAATTTAAACATTTTCCAGCTACTTTCAGCTGTTTTTTAGCTGTTTTGTGCTCCTTAAAGTTTATTTCTGTTCATTTCAGCTTGTTATGCTCCTTTCAGCTAATTCCTGCAAGTTTCAGCCTTTTCTACTATTTCAGCTACTGTTTAGTTGTTTTATGCTAAGTTTAGCTTTTTCAGCTACTTCTACATTATTTTGCACTAATTTAAACTTTTTCAACCTAATTCAGTAAAACTGCTTTCTCCACTTCCTTCTGTGTTATTTAAGCTTCTTTCTGATTTTTTAGCTACTTTTCAGCTTTTTTTTCTAATTTCAGCTTTTTCCAAATGATTTCCACTTTTTTGTGCTCATTTCTGATTCTTTCAGCCTAATTAGGCAAATATAGTCTTTCTGCTTTTTTCTGCTAATTTCAGCTTGTTCTAGCTCTTCAGCTACCTTTTTAGCACCTTTTTTTTTTTTTACTAACTTTGTCTCTTTTTAGATAAATTCAAATTTTTAATGGTAATTTCTGCTACTTTTTGCATAATTAACTCCTTTCTATTATTTCAGCTACTATTTAGCTGTTTTGTTCTAATTTTAACATTTTCAGCCAATTACGCTTTTTTCTGTTATTTCAGCTACTATTTAGCTGTTTTGTTCTAATTTTAACATGTTCTTTCCAATTACGCTTTTTTCTGTTATTTCAGCTACTATTTAGCTGTTTTGTTCTAATTTTAACCTTTTCAGCCTTTTTTTAAAGCTCTTTCCACTTCCTCCTGGGAGTTTTTGCTTCTTTCTGCTTTTCAGCTACTTTTCAGTTTTTTTTTGTATTTTTTTTCAAATTTCAGTGCTTTTTTTTTATTAGCTACTTTCGTTATTTTTGTGCTAATTTCTGCTTTTTAAACCCAAATTCAGCGAATATCTGTTCTGCTTTCTTCTGCTGCTGACTTGGGCTTGTTCTTCAATTTCAGCTACATTTCATTATGTTTTTAGCTAATTTCAGCTGTTTTTAAGAAGTTCTTCAGCAACAAGCAATCACACTGCATTTTCACATGAAATGCCATTTGTCTAGTTCAGCTGCGCAGCACGGTGGCGCAAGAGCTGCTGCCTCTCACCGAGCAGGTCCCTGGTTCAAATCCAGGTCCGGGGGCCTTTCTGGGTGGAGTTTGCATGTTCTCTCCGTGCATGCGTGGGTTTTCTCTGGGTACTCCGGTTTCCTCCCACAGACCAAAAACATGCATGTTAGGCTGATTGGTAACTCTAAATTGTCCCTAGGTGTGAGTGAGAGAGTGAATGGTTGTTTGTCTCGTTTGTCTCTATGTGTCCCAGTGATGGACTTGCGACCCGTCCAGGGTGTACCCCGCCCCTCGCACAGTGATTGCTGGACATGGGCACCGGCGACCCCCGTGGCCCAAAATGGAATAAACGGGTAAAGAAAATGGATGGATGGATAGTTCAGCTGCTTCAGCTCAGACCAGAGGGAGTATTAGGATCTCTGCTTGTATCATAAACACGACTCTTATCGCCTGAGCCGACGATCATCGTTTTGTTTTCTTAAGCTGCGCCCGGTGAAGCTTCCATGCTAATATTTGATTTGAAGTCGACAGCTGGATTTAATTGTGGGGCATAAATGGCTTTCATATAACGATGATGTTCTCCATTCCATGGCAGTTTTATGCAGATGAACACATTACTTTAATGGTCGGCGTTTACTGGAGGAGGGAGGAGACGATGGAGGCAGCGAGAGCGAAGGTCTCTTCCCTCTCCAGATGGCTGTCTTTTCTTGCATGAGATTAGAAGATGTTTCTGATTCGCAGCGTTGCTTTTGGAGAAAATTAATATTTCAGCCCAAACTTTTTTTAATGTCTGTCCTTTTTCAACGAAGCTCAGCCTTTCTGTTCCAGGACAGATCCTCCAACAGACTGCAGGTGAAGCTGCTGCTGTTTGCGCCCGTTCAGTGAATTCCAGAAAGTTGTTGATGTTAATTGACTGCTTGGGAAGCAGAAGAAGCTGTAATGAATGATTATTAAGCCTGGGAGGGTAAGGGGGGAGGGGGGAGACAAGCAGCAGCTGTAATTGCATCCATGATAAAGAGACATTGATTAACAAAAAGAACAATGATGTAAAAATTAGTGGCATAATTTTGAGCCTCTGATTGTGGTCCATTAGCCCGAAGCACCGGAGAGTGCACGGCTCAGGTACACCCCCCACCCCCCCCTCGGTAAATGGCAGGAATGGTAATAAACGTAGTAATTATCATTTTCTATTCTCACATTAGCATCTGCTGCTTAAATCAAAGGGGTTTCCACACATGACCAGCGGGCCACAGAGTCAGGTCTGGATTAGCCCCGCAGTGATTTTGTGTCACATGTGAGCCTCGATAAACAAATCTAGAGGTGGCGGGCCCCCACGCCAAGCTGTCGGCGGAGGCTCTCCTGCAGTGCATTAACCTCCGTGGCGCTGATGAATGCGCACGTGGTAATGTGTTGTTCCGTGTAATGAATGCTGATGTTGTGACCTTTGGCTGTGTTGTTGTTGGCGATGATGGTTTGTGTCTGGGAGGAGAGGGTGCGCACCGTCTACACCCAGGCTGCTATTCATCACGTCCCACATCAAGATAATGATCAAATTGTCTCCACCTGTCATCAAAGCTCTCATGTCCATCAGTCGGCCTGTTTCCACCCCTCCACCCATCTTTTTATTTGTTCATCAAACCACTTACTCTTACCATTTTTCCCTCCCCCGCTTTCAATCTCTCCCTCTCAGATGGAACATCCTGGGCCTGCAGGGGGCGCTGCTGAGCCACTTCGTGGAGCCGGTGTACCTGCACAGCTTGACCGTCGGCAGCCTGCGCCACACGGGTCACCTGGGCCGAGTTCTGAACCAGCGTCAGGAGCGCCTGGGGCCGCTGCCTGCTACATACAGACGCAGCCAGCCCCTGCTGAGCGGTACGGAAACAACTCAGGGACACATTTCATTATTTAAACGTAGTTGATGAATGTTAAGATGTTTTTGGAGGGGGGGGGGGGGGCACTGTCAACACAAGTTTGGACATGTGATGGAAGACTTGAACTGAAACCCCCTGAGTTATGCAACAAGCAGGAAGAGTTGACCCTTACATGGCTCTTTAACTTTATGACCATTCATGTTCCTCAGAGGAAAAATTAAACACCTTTAAAAAAATGTTTGACAATAAACAAGTCAGTCTTTTAGAACTATAATAGCATGAAATAAAAAATATGCTCAATTGGTAGAGCTGTTGCTTCTCAGCGAGAAGGTCACCAGATTGAATCCTGGCCAGGGGCCTATCTGGGTGGATCTAACAAGGTTGGATCAGATCCTCTGGAGGACCACAGGACTTGACTCAACCTTGTTAGATTCATCTTCCATGAATTATTGAGCATGAATCAGGATATCAGGGTCGAGTTAGCGTGTTCTCTCCGTGCTGCGTGGGTTTTCTCTGGGTACTCCAGTTTCCTCCAACAGACCAAAAACATGCATGTTAGGCTGATTGGTAACTCTAAATTGTCCCCAGGTGAGAGAGAGAGAGTGAATGGTTGTTTGTCTCTATGTGTCCATGTGATGGACTGGAGAGGAGACCTGTCCAGGGTGTCCCCCACCTCTCACACAGTGACTGCTGGATATAGGCATCAGTGACCCCCGTGACCCGAAAAGTAAGAAACGGGTAAAAGATGGATGGATGGATGGATGCTGAACAAGTGTTTGTCCACACTCGTCAAGTGAAAAGGGGGAACTGTAAACACCCTCTGTTTGTCTTTGCATGTTGTGAGCGTGATAACTTCAAATAATCTAAAAAAGTTAAATCTGGTCCTCTGGACATTCAAAAAAAAAACAAAGCAAAACAACAAAAAATGTAGAAACGGTTTGTCTCTCATCCAAGAGACTTCCTCAGTCTGAGGTGCTGTTTTCAGCTCAGTCTCTTAAATAGCACCTTCTCAGAGTGGATCAACCAGTTTTGCTGCTGACAACCAAAACCAGCTGATCACATGCTCAAGAAGGACCATCAGCCCAACAATGGATCATTAGCACACTGATGGCTGTTTACTGTTCACAGAGGGGTGAGTGATACTAGCAATCACAGCATTGTAAGTGGGGGACAGTTGAACCCGGAGGCCTCCACCCCTGTTTAACGATGGACGATTTCTTTTCACAAAGATGGCCTCCTTTACTCCTCTCTCAAACCATCGTTCCTCTCTATCCAGGATGTGCACATCTTCATCCCTGAAAGAGTGACCGCTGGCCTGGAGATGAGTGTA